CTATTTATATTAAATATAGGCATATCGTCTAGAAAATTTAACCACTTTTCGTTTAGTAAATTCATTTACTAAACAAAAAGAAAGATTATTAAAGTTATAACTTTCAGATTTTGCTAGAAACCTATGAGGGAGAAAAAAGTTCAAATAAATTTAAAATCACCTCTATTGTTTGTATAAGTAATAGTTAATATACTGCATATCTATAGCCCATCTGTAGCATATCTATAGTCCATTTGCAGCAGGGTTTGTGTATTAAAAAATAATACTTTAATTTTTTCCAGAATAACTAACACAAAGATCAATTTACGGAGATACCAAGATAATCATAAACCGTTTAATTCTTTGAATGCAAACTGGGTCATCGAACATGGTCTTTTCTTCTAATGCAAGCTGCAAATAAACATATTCGTAATGCCCTTCTGTAAGATTTTGAAGTGCATCATTAATATAGTACTCTATCTTTACTGGCTGTCCAGGAATCTGTTATCTGTTGAAATATTACAAAGAAAAAATGTGAAATTATAGCAGTAGTAACAGATGATGATATAATTGTTTATAATTGTAATTATACAATTAATATTGTTAAATCGTCCATTAAAAGTCAATTTGTTAATCGCACAAATAAATCAAGGGTACAGTTATTTAACCTTATTTAATTATTTTAGAGCATTTTCCTTGACGCCTTTTAAAATACAAGAGTAAATGTAAATAAAAAAACTGCCGATTAAACGTTTTCCTACTGCCTTCCTCCCTTTCATCCTAGCTTACTGCTCCTTCAAAGTTCACCTTAATCCCCCCCTGCTACTCCTTTAAATTTTTATAAAAACCAAGTGCATATTAGTTTTGGCTTCGATTTGCTTTTAACTGCCAAGTAATTTTTATGATAGTATTTCAAATAATTTTACCTTCTCGATTACTTAGAAGGACAAGATGTTGACAATAAGATGACGCTTCATAAGATTAGGTCATCGAATTCTTAATAAAGTAACTTCTTCCCCCCCAAAAAAAAATTTTTTTTAACCGACTATTTTATGTGAGTTTAAACTCAGCGATATTGTTTAAGTTTTAATGGTATTGTTCTTTAAAGTCATTTATAGCTCAAATTCTTTATTTTTAATGCTGTTTATGCTTTTGTTATTTACAGTGTGTTCTTTTTACTTTTACTGTATAAAAATATTGGCTTGATTTACGTTACTCAGTAAACTTATTCTCCGGATTTATGGTTAACATCAGGCTTATAATTTATTTTTTAATGATTAAGAAATAGGTTATCTATTTCTATTTTAGAAAAATCTTAAAAATACAATTTTCTTACATTCCTAATTAACTATTTAAATTATTCACTTGGTAACCTATTCTATTGCGGAAAAACTAGTCTACAAATTAATATAAAATTGGAAGAGCGTCAAATACATGAGGAGTTGTGAGAATTAAAATTATCCTTATTCCACAAATTAATGCCTTTAGTGATTTCATAAACTTTTCACATAAGTAAAGCAAATACTTAATTTGTATAAACTACAGAATAAAGTAAATAATTTCAAAATGTTTTACGTAAAAGTAAGATATTCATACATAGAAAAATTTATAAATCTAGTTTAAATTGTAACTTTATAAAATACTTACATCTGAGAACACTATCTGAAAAACAGTTTTCACGAAAGAACGATGAAGCAAAAATCGCTATTTTAAAAACACTAATTCTGAAGAGATGCACTATGTGACCACCGTTTATATAGTTATATGTTTTATTAAAAAATTCCAATTCTTATAAATAATCATAGCAACTATTGTCGCCGGTCAGGCACCTTTTTTGGAATGTTCTCTCATTTGAAATCTCCGTACCGGTTTTAAATAGCTAACACGGGCTTTGAATATTTATTTTGAAATTTGCCAGACAGAATTAGAACCTAGCAACAATAGTTGCAAAATCGGAGCTGAAGGAATGCTACATGTGAAACATTTTGTTGTTCAATATTCTAATGAAGGAATGCAGAATTTCCGAGAACTGTATCTGCATTAGTAACTCTTTTCTCATGTTCATTGCATTCATTTATAATGCGGATGACAGTACAGTGGATATGTGAGTGATACAATATTTTCTGCACAGCAGTGTATTTATTACGCTAAAAGGGTTAGAAAAAGCAAATTTTAAAATTACATCCCACTGTTAGTTCAGACATGAGGAATACATGCTTCAAAAAAATAAAACAGGCACAACCATTTTGTTTTTAATATGGTGTAGGTTTGTATTGTAACTAAAAGCTTGTGTTTAAATCCTGCTGACGTTACTAGACTGCTAACGAACTATTGCTTAGTTTTAAGTAAATCATAAACACTGAAGAAGCTTAAAAAGGTTAAAATAATCTTTTTCATTTAGTCTTAGCCTGAATAGAATGGGCAAAATTTGTACTACAATGAACTTCTGCTACCTTCCTAGTATTTAGATTAATATAACAGAAAGCTTAAATTTCAAATGTAAGGTAACGTAGTCGAATACTATACATAAAATAAAATTTTACCGGCACGTATAAATGCGCTTAAGCTGGAATATAACTTAAGGTATAGATAGTTGGCGAAAGTAAGTAATAGCAAGATGCGGCTGCCTTAAGCTCTATAGAGTTTCTAAAGTAGAGTAAGAGCTAGTTGAGATTATAATCTAATCAGCCCTCAGCTTAGATACACACAAAAACCCAATTTGCATTCTGGTCAAGATTACGAAAAGAAGAATTTACTGTAAAGGCTTAAATCATAATAATTGGTTGGTTAAAATAAAATACTTTACAATGTTTACTTTCAAATATTAAAATTGCAGGACAAAATTCCATTAAATCGAAACAATAATAGCAGATAAAATTCACCAAATGAAAATGATGTCATTCCTCCAAGGTATTAAAAGGAAACAAGGAAATGTTTCTATTTTAAAGATTATTATAGTATGTTTTTACCAGAGTAAACTATAGTATTAAAGTGATCTAGAAACCTTTATCTACGATAAACTATAAGATGACAAACTATAAAAACTATTTTACAATTACAAAGAACTGAAACTGATATTTATTGAAAATGAATTTTCATCGGTGGCAAAATCGGTTTCAAATGGCAGCTAAATTTCTCTGCAAAAGGACTCTACTCTAATATTTTACTTATCAATCAACATGAATTTTTCACAAATTAGTAAACTGAAACTTTTTGATATTATTTACAGTATAAATTTAGTTTCAAAATGTTTCTCTAAGATTTAGAAATTTTAGCAAAGATATACGAATAAAATATTTAAATTACTTCCTTGTTAATTATATTCTCTACTGATTTTATAGATGCCTATTTTACTTGTAACGGTGACAAAAATATTCTTTTGAATGTATTAACGTATTAAAACACTTTTGTTTTTATATTTTTTTCCAGGATTTAACTCTTGTAGGCTGCAGTTTTGTATCAAATTTTAAGTATGGCAATGTAATCTTGTCTACAAAGAAAATGAAACAGTTTTCTGTACATCTAAACTCTTATATCGCAGAAAAATACAAGAAAATTTAGCATGTAATAGTAGGGTCGGAATGATGTACTTTCACTATAATAAGATGCCAGAAACCTCTTATATAAATTGCAGTACTCGATTTCGTTGCCTCAACTTCCATCCGAACATCGTCTAACGCAAATGTAAGAAAACGCTTGTAGTTCAAATACTTTAGGCAGGAATTTTTCTGTTATTTTTTTCATAGCCGATTTTGTGTTTCGAGACATGCATGGCCACAATTTTATCTCTAGAAGCTAGATATTAATGTAGATTTTTAAGATTAACTTAAAGCTGGTGTTATTTTTCAACAAAGAAATGGAAATTTCAGATGTTGTGTCAAAAATTATAAGGTATTTTCTTCCTCATTCATGCATGCTTTCGTAGCGTAACGGTTAGCACACTCGGCGCGTATTCGAGAAGTCCAGGTTCGAGTCCCTCCCAAGGCATTGCTCATTTCTCATATCTCAATAACCTAATGTTTCTACAGCGCCGCCCAAACTAAAGAGGTGATGGATGATGATTCTTCACCACCAGGATTTGGCGCTTGGGTCTCCTATTCCTTAGTCGCCCCTTTTCTCCCTCCTTTCTGCATGTCTTCGTGGTTTTTCGTGGTTCGGTGCATATTCGAGAGGTCCAGGTTCGAGTCCCGGCGAAGGCATTGTTCATTTTTCACGTCTCTTGCTTAAAATAACCTCTGCAAAAAGTGAAAGCTGTTCTTTATCCTCTAGACATCAGTTATCTGCTTTATTTAACAAATCAAAAAGTAGTCAAGGCTTTAAAAATGCATTACTCGTATCCGACACTTTTTACGCAACTTGAGGGCAATCTTAAGAGACAATCCAGAACTAACAGAGTAGTTTTTTTTTTTTTTTGGAAGGATTGCAATGCATTGCATATGGCAAAATCACAGAAGACAGTAATAGAATGTAAGAAAAAATAATGTTAGAAGAATTTGTGCCTTTTTTTTTTTTTTTTTTTTCTTAATAGACCCTTTGAATTCTGCAACTAATACAGAAGTCGATGCCGTTTTTCTCTTAATGGAAGAAGAGTGGAAAAGAAATAGTAAAAAAGAAATTAATTTGAAAGTCGAATGCTGAGCAGATTGTAGAATTAAATTCTCGTAATTAAGAATGCATGCTTGTTATGAAATTATGGAATCAAGGTGTTCTTGAAAAATCTAAAGAATCTGATGTTAAGCCCCAGAAAAAATTTACATTCGTTTCAAAACTAAATGAAAAGTGGAAAAACTGGGATGAAATCTTTGAAGATTAATTAGAAAGAGCAAGCATGCGTAGAAATGCGTACTTCAGTTTCTTTTGATGAAACTTACTGTGGATTAGGAGGGAATATACAAATATCAGAGATGACCTAACCACTTATGCGTTCCACAAATATGCAAATGCCTTTCTGAAGCCTTTGAGTATATGGCATTGTAGAGTCATTAGACATTTTTGAAGCGGTAGACATGAAAAATGAGCAGTGCCCTCGCCGGGATTCGAACCCTGTACCTCTCGAATAGGCGTCGAGAATGCTTCCAATTACACCACGAAGGCATGTGGAAAGGAGCCAGAAAATACCTAATGTAGTCTCTCTTTTCAAAGGCGAACTGGGGGGTTATGGGACCCAATCGCTAAATCTTGGTGGTAACGAATAACTGTCGCCCACCACGTTTTAGTTCACTGTCGCCCACCACGTTTCCTTAAGTCTGTTTGAAGCAGGAGATATGAAAAACGATCAATGCCCTCGCCGAGACTCGATCACTGGACCTCTCGAATATGCTTCCAATTACGCCACGAAGGCAGGCGGAAAAGAGGGAGAAAATACCTTATACGTAGCATAACTACTTATACCAAATTCTTGAAAGAAGCTTTTGATCGTTTCTTTATTAGGTTTCAGCTAGGATAGTCTGTTGAAGATGTAGCTGTTTTATTATTCATCATATTGTATTTTATGGTCTGTTCCCTGTTGTCTATGAGTTATCGTGGCTTCAGGTGATACTTATATGGGTTTATTAGCTAAGCGCAATGGTGACTACTAAACATGGAAAGTCAATATCTACGACAAATCTGCGGCAAAGATTACATAGGAAATAATCTGTATACTTTTAAGCGACAAAACTTAAGAACCACGTTTAGAGTGCAATCATCAACATCGCTGCATTGCTTATGTGAAGGTCACATTCTTTATAAGGTAAATTTTGGTTGCTTGCAGAGCTTGTGTTATGCACAAAATGTGATGTACATGCGTAAATGTTTGCAAATATATATAAATATATTTTGTTACTGATCATTTTTCTCATAAATCGATACTTGTCGATAATATCATAAATATTTAATCGAATCTCTCTTACTCAAGTTACGTTTTGAGTCAATCAAAGCATAACTTTTCCAGTTACGTCGAATTTACAGTCGCGTGCTTAACTTTTGGAAAACAAAATAAAATGTTTTAAAAGTATGTGTCACCAGGATGGCTTATCTTCTTAACTGGCCGGGCAATTATTCTAAATTACCAGGGTAAACAACCAAGGTAAAATCCCTATTTATAATGAAACAACCGTTATAAAAGGACAAAGATAAGCCAGATGAATTTCACTACTGCTTTTGCCCACATTAAAATCTGCAGATCTAATGTCAGTGGAGTGGCTATTTATCGTCAAAAATCACTTTTAGGCTCATTGTACTGGAAGTATTTGCAGCAACCTAATACATGTAAAATTTTTCTCATTGGTAAAAACATATTGATGGGCATAAACCACTTTTCGAATAAGCAATAATTCTTCCCAATTCTTATAACCGCATTAAGAAGTTTTAGTCTCATTCTGTTTTGATTTTTTTTTTGATTGAGAAGATAATTGAGAAGATAGTTTTGTCGTAATGTATGACTAAATGAGATTATTACTACTTCCTGTTTTAGCTCAGATCAAGATGATGAAAGAAAGATGGTGAAAGTACACTTTTTGATTGGTTGTAAGATTCTGAATCCAATTCAGATAATTTGGAGCCAAAAGACAATTGAATTCTGACTTTTGATGCTGTTACCAAAATGAAAGATTTCAGTTTGAAGTTTTAAAATTAAGAATTACAAAACTAGAAATATTTCATTTTGAAAGTGAAACTATTTTCCCATTAAGTGACCAGGAAAATATTTTTCAGGTAAGATTTTTTAAATGTATATCGCTTCACATAAACAATCTGTATACATGAAAACAACTAAAGGGAAAAACAAAAGAATTCTCTGATACTTCCAAACTGGGAGGGAGGATTTAGAATTTACCTTTAAGAAAGTGCTAATCGGAAAATTATGCTCCTCTCCGCAAATTGTAAAATTGTAATTATATTTATTGTTTTCTATATAAGCATTAGATGACAAAGACAAGAAAATATTATATCTTTACAAAATAACCTCAATGTTAGTAGGACAGAAACCCTCGAGTCGAACTGAATGTTCAAAAGAACTATATAATTATCTAAAGAACTATATAATTTATTAGGATATTATTATAAACTTTCTAGTGTATAATAATATCTTAATAAAAATGTTTCATTTAACATTGAACATTTGGATAATATCTGAAAAAAATTGAGTACCTTTTTTAAGTGAATACATGAAAGTTTTAAAGAAAGTTGTTTGGCTCAGATCAATAGATAACATTCTAGCCGAGTAATAGTTACCTTAAATGATTTAATAGCATATGCTCTTCAAATCAGCAAACAACTTCCATCGGAAATCATATACGAATTTAAAAATTCGTAGCATTTTACTGTCTTCTGTATATGCAATTTGAGCAAGAAATCTAAAAGATCAACCTAAATAATCATTTATTTTGTTTTTTTAATTTACCAATTTGTATTATCACCAGATTTGCATTATCACTTTTTACATCCGGTCTCACTGACCCATTTCTTTGCGTTTGAACTGCCTTGCAAGTGAACTCTTCCTAATAATTATCATCAACATACAAAGATCCTGTAATCTCTGCTAGGAATAACTTTATTTTACGAAGTACTTGAATAAAGCGGTTGAGAAAATGGGGTCAGAAAAATATGTAACAGTAGTTTTAATGTTTGGTTTTGTATTGCTTCATTTCCAAGATGGCAAAAGATTTGTGTCAAAGTTCATTTCATTAAATATTGTTGCTCAAGTACTTAAGTACTCACTTTTGATCTTCTAGCCTGTCATCAACATCCCTATATTTGAAAATTTTCTCAGAAAATGCTTATAGGGCAGTTCCATTTGAAATGCAAAATTCTGTTACCAAGTAAGCTTCGAAGTAACGTACACTGGAATAGATACATTTGCTTTAATTCTCCTGAAATTCTAGAAACTTTGGAAGAATGGCTTTTATTGTACCTGTTGTAGGGATTATTTTAATTTTCTAATAGTTATTTTTAATTTTGCACCCTTTCCTTTATTACCTTGTTCCTCCACCTACAACTCCCTACCAGAATGAGTTTTCAATATCGCGTTTTATGTAAATGAGGTAGAAGTAGTATTTAATGAGAAACTAAAAAAACTTCTGAGCACTTCCGTAGAAGAGCTCAGAAGTTCCCAGTAAATCGATCGTATTCTACCTTCTGGCCACGTCGTTGCTTTAAGCCCATCTTAGTACGTTCGGTCGTATCCTTACATGCCTGTTAGTATTCGCCTGTGCGGTTTAATTAAGGGCCAACTCGGTTAGTTATTCCTGTACATCTTCGATTAAATTTTAGTTAGTTAGAATTAATTTAGTTGCTTATTTTCTATCTTAATATCTTAAAGCCCAAGTGGAGGCTTTCCTGTAAGCTCGAGAGGGGCTGCCTGTAAATATTCTCTGAACTAATAAAAGGGTATTTTAACCCTTCTTTGGACTTAGCTTCTGCAGTTGTAAGAAGTAGAGCTTAATAGTCACTATACTCTTCTGCAGTGCTAGTTGCCAAGGACACATAATTTAACCAGAACCATGTACTGTCATAGACTGATTTTCATCTTTCTGTGAAACCGTACTAATAAGAAGGAACAACGAGGTCAGAAAATGAAAAATCTAGCAAACAAGGTGGTAGTGGTATGACAGTGAAATGTTCCTGATCAAAGAAAACCGAGTTTATTTGGTCAAACACTTTTGTCAAGATGAAAGAAGATGTTTTATTTCTGCGTGTATAACAAGAACTACGGGGTGCCGGATTGTATCATCTCATACATATCTTCTATAGCGAGAACGTTCATGTTCTCAAATAACCAAATTCAAGCACTGAAAGTTACAAACATGTGACATTTTTTACGATTTCTTCTAACAAAAAAGTACATATACGTAGGCAAAATTAAAAATAAATAAATAAATAAAATATAAAATTAGCGTGATTATAATTCAGTACCAGAAATTAAAAGACATAAAAATTTAATATTGATTTGGATTAGATTATCTGATTAAGGCAAACCTCGCATAGGTTATCTGCCTAATGGGAGGAATGTTTTCGTGATGAGCTTTCTGACTGAAAACTGGTGTATATTCACATTATGCAAGAAAACGATTATACAGCTGCCCTCAAACGCTATACCTCGCTGAAATTTGAACGAGTCGAATTATCAGTGTTTAGCTATCTTATCCACGTATCCATTGATGAGGGGTATAACCAGTGGTCATTTAAAAATAAAATAAAACAGCTACCCATTAAAAAATTATTTTATAAAAAGGACTTATTTGAAATATTTTCAAATGCAAAATTAGACAAAGAAGCTAATTTATACTAGCGTGGATTTTATATAAAGTTCTACATGTTTTCAGGGCGACAATCACAGGGCTATCTTGTCAATTGCCCCAGCCATAAGATTTCGGGAAGGAATAATATATTGCTTCTTTGCAGAATTCTGAAAAAAAAAAAAAAAAAAAAAAAAAAAAAAAAAAAAACTACCTCATTCTTCTTTTGTAAATGTTTGTTAATTACATTTTAAATGATAAATAAAAAAAACTACTTCATTCTTCTTTTGCAAATGTTTGTTAACCCTTTGTTGCATCATGTCCACTCTAGTAGACAAAAGTTTAAATTTGTTTATTCTTCTGTAAATGCCTTAGCAGATTCCATTCCTATGTTTATTCATTCTCTATTATTAGAACTTTCAACTGTCGATCATAGATGGCTGTATAGCATCACTAAGTAAAGCATTGCTATTTGCAAAATGGCTGCTACTTCTGTTTCCAAGTTAGTACAATTTCCCATAGTAAACATTATATAATATTGCTTACATTTTCTTATATTGGCATTTTTTATTCATAATTATTAATTTTAAACATTTTATTTTAAATGTCTGTTTGAAAAAATTTTGAAGTGTGTAAAGATCTACCGAAAACAGTGGATTGAAATCCAAATGCACTGCTTATCAAGCCAAAACACCACTGAAATGTTTATGTTTGCAAGGAATTTCTAAACATTTGACTTTGAATCCAATAGGTACAGGTTACAAAATCTAGCAAAATGAATTCAATCACATCGACGAATGAAGGTATTTTGGGATCTGTATGCACATGTCAGTTGTAGATTTACCATTTAGAAGATGGTAATAGTCACTCAAAAAGGCA